GATTTTTTAGATAGGAAATAATTCTTTTTAATAAGTGAATAAATGAAATAACAAAAGAAAAACTAATATTCTCATTCGACTATGAGCTGCAAGATTAGTCAAGCCAAGATGTTTAAAAAATAATAATTAACAACTGTACTAGAAGCTGCATGCCTCCAGAAAAGTCAAAACATTTGAAGAAAATTAAACTCTAGAACAACATAATCAGATTTTGGAAAAAGTAAAAAAGATTATAAGATGCAAATAATAACTTGCATGTTATGCGTCATGAATGATTTTGCAGTTTGATCGCAATATTTCTACTGTGTTAGTAACGCAGTAAAGACAAATTTGTCAATTTTTAATTCTTTTTGGTAGTTTAAGTAATCGCTCTTTGCATTGTGTAAATTAATATATTTTATCCCTTCAAAATATCTAACTTTTAAATACAAAATTTTTAAGACAATTTGCGTGAATCTAGAGACATTCTGCTTTAATACGCGTTGTTAAAAGAAACACATGTATTGAATATATATACTAAAATATTCCTATGAAATTCATTCGATTTGACAAAGCATATGACAATATGTATTTTATTGATAATTAATAAAATGCTTTTCATCATGGAGTTATTAAGTCAACCAGAACTAAAAGTGACTCACGACAACATGTGCAAACAATGAATATTATTTATTTATGATATATATTTAATCCTCAATGCATTGTTACAATAATATCAACTGATGAATGGGGGGGGGGGGGATCCACAGGCAATTGTTTACATAATGACGTAATCATGTGTACACTTGAACAATAGAATGGGTGACACACGTGTGTCATGAATAACAATAGAAAGCTTATAGCGCACAAATGTTTTAATCCCGCCAAAATAAAATGGATGCCTTATTAGATTGAAATAAAAAATGGCGCACTGTTTCTCCATAACAAAAGAAAACGAAACATAATTGTAGGGGTCACATAAATATGGTCTAAAGTACACAATAGAAAAATGTTACCATAAAGGATTAACTAATTCGGTCAAAATATACAAAGGAAAACTATAATCAAATTATTGGTTTAAACTATGAAAAGAAAATTAGGACAAAATATTATTAATAAGTCTGTACCAGCTGTGGTCAACTCATCTAATAAGCTACTTTAGTATCTAGTATTTCTTCTTCTTCATATTGTATTTTACTATCATCAGAAAAATGTAAAGTTTAATCAATTGTTTACATAATGACTTAAGACTGTGTACTTTATAACAATAGAACAGGTAACACTCCAAAAAAGTCAATCTTATACATGTAAATGCAAAATTACATTTATTGTTTTCTTATAATATAATGAGGCCTGTTTTGTCATTTTTCCAAAAATTGACATGTCATATTTTTGCACATGTTGACAAGAAACAAACCTATGCCACTTGTTTTGTATATAATTCTCTTCATTAAAGTTACTACGCATCACATCCAAGGCCAGCAATTCAACCTCTCATTGAAGGCAAGTACTTTCTCTGTGGTTCATACAATGCTTGATCTAATTAATTTACTGTGTATTTCTAAAGCAGTAAATTTGATAAAACTTGATAGTCAGGTGGGATACATACAAAACAAGTTACCTTTTATTTAGAATTCATACCCAATTATTGTTTTCTTATAATATAATGAGGCCTGTTTTGTCAATGGTTTCAACACCTACATGTATCTTTAGAACTCATTAGAGTAAAACAAAACAATAATTGTCAATGAATAATCCTTAATAAGAAAATAAATCTTTCTTTACCAGCTAGTAAATCTTGCTTTTATCATATTTATGGTTTAAACTCTTAACCAGACAATGTGGTTACCTGATAAAACAAACAATCCTTTAAGTATGTATGACCAGTATGACCCCAAATGTAAAATATATTTCAACCAGGTAATAAATCCACAAAGGGACGCGCCTTTCTGAGTCGATGTTTCGGATCAGTTATGAACATTCATTTATTCAATGGAGAAATTTTAAATGATTTGATTTACCACTTTTAAGCGAGGATAGGAATTACAACCTAAAATTATATACATTGTACTGAAACTTTTTTTTATTCACATTCTTATTTTTTATATTTTGATCTAGCAAAGATTAAACATTTTCTGCTGTTAATTGCCAGAACGAAGAAACCAATTAAATCTTACATTTCAACACTGAAGTGATAATGTCATCACCTTGGAATTTGTATAGCAATGAACCGTCAGATTTTTAACATCTGTGAAATTGATGTCAGCGCCAAGATAAACATTGGTCCTTTTTATGACTTGATAACAGAAAGAAACAATAATTAAAAGTTTTTATTTCATGTCAATAAGTAAGCCCTTTGTATACAGGTGTGTCCCTAAATTACTCACTTCTTGTCCACCATTAAAAACGAGTTCTTCCTTATAGTTGCCACAGTATAACTATTTTCCTGACATGCTTGAAGTGGTAATATGGATTTTACTTAATATTCAAAAATATCATCAGAGCAAAAACAGCTATTTGGTGATAGATTTTTATGTCACGTTTTCACATACCCTTGACTAGATTTCTCTCTCCAGATAACTTTTTTTTGCATTTCAACTATATACACCCAGGCGCAACATGGATTAGTTGGACGATTTAAGAAAAGGATATACATAAACTTATAAACAAAATAAAACAAAGATCTAATAATACAGTTTAATTTATTTATTACAGACTGCATTTACAAAAAGGAATATTTAAAATAAAACGCATTTGGCATATGATAAAAAAATGTTCCAATCATAATGTACCACACTAACATTTGTCCTTTTGTCTTTCCAAAATATGAATAAATAATATAAACTTTCACATGTCTTTAATAATTTGTTCATTTATTGATAAAATGTCAGTATTTATCACTACTAGTTTTTTTTTCACTGTCATCATCATCATCATCATTATCAAATGTTTCTTCAAGTTCTGGTAATGGGTACTTGTCCATAACACGCTCTAACATAAATTTTCTTTTTTTAACAGCATACTGTATAGCTTCATCAGTTTCGAAATTATCTTCCTCTCTCAATCTTTTAACAGTTCCCATGATCTTTTTATGTGTAGGATTGCGCTGAAGTGCATACATTTTTCCAATAAAATCCAAATAAACTTCTCTGAATGCTTTATGATACACGGAGCGTAATTTTTCAAAAGCTTTATTTCTTATTTCTTCAAGAGAGCTATCAGGGTCTTCATTACGCATTTTACTGCCTGTTTCATTTAAAACGTCATCTCCTTGTTCATATGTGAGCTCTGTAAAATACTTCCAGATGTCAATATGTTTGTTCTTGTTAACATCATCATATTGTTTACCATTGTCATTCCCTATAGTAGAAGATTCATCGTCATTATCTTGTTCACTGTCATCGTCTTCTTCGTAATGATGAGATTTGGATCTATTAGGTCTCAACCGATCGAAAATGTTTCTATATAGATAAGGTTTACGATTTGGTTCCTCATCTGATGTATTTCCATCGCTGATATTATTTTCAGACATACTGTTCTTATGTTTGAGATGCGAATGCCTATTTAAATTGTACTTTTTATTGAATTTTTTATAACACAAAAGACATGTGAATACCATTATTTTAAGCAATCAAATGGCAAAATTAATGCCAATTCTCCTTTTTATACTCCCAACTAATTTATTTCGTTTCTCATTTTCTCGTTTTGCTTGCTAAGTGGCTCAATTGGGTGTTCATTAACTCATTTTGCTTGCTCAGTCGCTCATTTTATTTGCTCATTTGCTTATTTTGCTTGCTCATTTGCTCATTTGGTTGCTCTTTTGCTCATTTTGGTTGCCCATTTGCTCATTTCACTTGCTCATTTGCTTGCTCATTTGCTCATTTCACTTGCTCATTTGCTCATTTAGTTGCTCATTTGCTCATTTTACTTGCTCATTTGCTCATTTGGTTGCTCATTTGCTCATTTTACTTGCTCATTTGCTCATTTGGTTGCTCATTTGCTCATTTTGGTTGCTCATTTGGTTGCTCATTTTGCTTGCTCATTTGCTCATTTGGTTGCTCTTTTGCTCATTTTGGTTGCTCATTTGCTCATTGCACTTGCTCATTTGCTCATTTGGTTGCTCATCTGCTCATTTCATTTGCTCATTTGCTCATTCGGTTGCTCATTTGCTCATTTTACTTGCTCATTTGCTCATTTTGGTTTCTCATTTGCTCATTTTACTTGCTCATTTGCTCTTTATGGTTGCTCATTTGCTTATTTAACTTGCTCATTTAACTTGCTCACTTGCTCATTTGGTTGCTTATTTGCTTGTTTGGTTCCTCATTTGCTCATTTTACTTGCTCATTTGGTTTCTCATTTGCTCGTTTTGGGTGCTAATTTGCTCATTTGATTGCTCATTTACTCATTTTTCCTTGCTCAGTCGCTCATTTTAGTTGCTCATATGCTCATTTTGGTTGCTCATTTGCTCTTTTTGGAGTGTTACCTGTTCTATTGTTATAAAGTACACAGTCTTAAGTCATTATGTAAACAATTGATTAAACTTTACATTTTTCTGATGATAGTAAAATACAATATGAAAAAGAAGAAATACTAGATACTAAAGTAGCTTATTAGATGAGTTGACCACAGCTGGTACAGACTTATTAATAATATTTTGTCCTAATTTTCTTTTCATAGTTTAAACCAATAATTTGATTATAGTTTTCCTTTGTATATTTTGACCGAATTAGTTAATCCTTTATGGTAACATTTTCTATTGTGTACTTTAGACCATATTTATGTGACCCCTACAATTATGTTTCGTTTTCTTTTGTTATGGAGAAACAGTGCGCCATTTTTTATTTCAATCTAATAAGGCATCCATTTTATTTTGGCGGGATTAAAACATTTGTGCGCTATAAGCTTTCTATTGTTATTCATGACACACGTGTGTCACCCATTCTATTGTTCAAGTGTACACATGATTACGTCATTATGTAAACAATTGCCTGTGGATCCCCCCCCCCCATTCATCAATCAACGTATTTATTTTGATTATGTAACAGAAAGAATAAATTGTATGGGCAGACATGTGAGGAAAGGGACAACGTTTTACATTTTATACAACATAGTTTATTCTGTGCTGTAAGAGGACAGAACTACCGAAAAGAACAAATCTATCGACTGATTATATACCATCCTTGGAAAGACAATTATGTATACCAAAACACAGCAACGTAATTTTTCAATATATAAAAAGTAAAGTTATTTTCTTTGTCAAAGAAAAGTTCTCAATATATGCTTAATCAAACAATGTGCCTAGTTTTTCTAATATAACTGATTATTATTAACATGTTTATTCAATTCACTTTTGTCTACTTTAAGTATGTTGCAATAAGAAAAAAATGTTTTAATTTTCACCAAATGATTTTAAACTGATTACTTATATAGGTAAGGTGTTTCGTTAAAAGAAAGGTTAAGTAATATAGGTGACAAAAACTTTAAAAAACAGTTTCAGTTTTCGCTAAGAATAAATTACAGTTTTTCAAACTGATAAGTCAATACACTATAATCAACAGTTTTCTTCTATATGTAATAATAATTTAAAAGATGACCTATCAACAATAAGACGGGACGACAATTTTATAGTATAATCCCTTCAGTTGAACTTCTTACATGTTCTGAAAAACAGTTCTCCTTTCCAATGTTTATTTTTCACCTCAAAGTATTCATCACGCGTTTCAGAGAAACCGTAACAACTACTACGACGTGTTTCACGATAGACTCCGTTACACACGTTCTCACTCCAGTTGATGCAAGCTTGTTTACACGCTCTACGACTCATCCCTGGCCCTTTGCCAAGAAAAAACCCATTAATTTTCCTCCATCTAGGAAACCATATATATTTCTCGCCGAATGTGTTGATGCATGACTGATTTCCTAAAATATGCAAAAAGATTATCATGTGAAAATTATTGTAATATTTGTTCAGTACAATATCCTTATAATACGTCTGTTTTGTTCCGATATTTCAGAAGCTTCAACGAAAAATGTAAACAGAAATCAAAGATAAAGATACTTGTTTATGTTTATTTTAGAATATGACGCATGCCTGTTTTAAAAATTTGGATTAGTGTGTATATCATTCATTTCTGCTAAAACTTGAAAAAGGAAACTCGTCGTTTGAAAATTAGGTGAAAAAAAGTAATTTTGTTTAATTGGCTTAATTTATTGTTTAATAGGCTATTATAGGCTATTTTATGATGTTTCATAGGCTAATATACGTTGTTTTATAGAACATCATCTAAGTTTCATAGGTTATACTAAAATGCTTCATAGGCTACTACAAAATTTTTCATGACATGGCTATTCATAATGCATCATAGTTTTTAACTAGGTGTTTCATAGGCTAAAATATTGTGTTTCATAGAATTTTATATAATCTTTTATTATGATGATTAATGTTTCATAGATTATTATAACATTATTGACTAGTGTGCCACTGAATATCATGTGATATTCACGGGCAAATGACATGATTTTCTGCAGGTTAATATCACATCATATTTTATGGCTCACTAGTCAATAATTGTTTTATTATATTAATAGGCAGATGTTAAAAACACTCACAAAAATAAAGCCTTTTAAAAGAAAAAAAAACAATACACATTGTTTGGCTGTTTTTTTTTATGTACTGGGAAAAACGCACTGTGAACAAGCTGACGTCAGGCGTTCAGCGATTACGCGAACGTTGCGCAAACAAAAGAAATTAAGTCTATATACATCAATGCGGTGAAACCTTTATCTATTATAGGTAAGTTATGATATCTAAATCGAGAACTATGATATAAAGAACAAAAAAGCGAAACTTATCTTTTTATGCGTAGTTTAAATCTATTTTTAGATCGGAATAATCCAATTTAGCTAGTGAATAAATGATACTTCACCCAGTCATTATAATAATATTATTATTATAAACGAAAAAAAGACACTTTTGAAATGTAATATGAATATTTTTTCAACTCGTTCAATAAATTTAGTATTACATCTACACTCATTCAATATCCCGTATGACTTTTGCATCTTCCAATGAATTTACGATATTTTCATATGTGCTACAGTCGTTAATAGTTTGCTACAATTAGAGGAGAATATTATAGAATGATTGTACTAAATGCGTGTTCCATGTGATATTGAATAACCACGGTAACATACACCCGGTACAAGACATCTTAATGTTTTTGAAACAAAGTTGTACTTCTATTGAATTTATAATTTGTTGTTTTTACGTAATTTCAACTAACACTATCAATATAGTTAAAATGATAATATGTCTAAATTTAATATTATTCAGACATGAAATGGCTACATTATAAATATACGAGTATATAGCGGTAAATGTAGAAATATGTTGTACGTTGAAAAATTGAAAATTCGTGCGATCGTTTAATTTGCCAAATAGATTGGACATACCCCTTTAGCTACTTACGTAAAGATTAAATTACCACAGGGCAACTAAGAGGCGATCGGGACAATCGTTTGTAGCTGGCGCAAGCAATTCAAATACGGTGAATGACGAGATCACAGACAAGAAGGGTGTGGGCGACGACGCCAACAATTGACGCGACGTTATTGACGCCTAATGCAAAGCGTTACAAAAGGATTGGCGGTAAACAGTCATTTTGACCTAAATGTAGCAGAAATCTCTTTGGTCCAAAAACCAGCACTATTTATAAAATCATATTCATTGTGTGAAGTATCATATTCACAAACTGAATTAGGTGTTTCCAATCTAACAATAGATTGAGGCTCATACTCAATGACCTTATATCGCGGATAGTTCATTGCGCGTGCGTATTAAAAACTAAATGTTGCGTTTTGTTCTTCATGAAAGATTTCTCGATTAAAACATCAATACTTCATTATAATAGTTAGAAGTTGCACCCCAATGTTGTGTATAAATTTGAATTACTTTTGTTGCTTAGAACTTCAATGAACGACTGACGTCATCTTGTACACTGTGCGTCCTTTTTCCCGCGTTTCAATGAAAACAGGCACGAGTTGCTTTTGTATTTTCTTAAAAAGATTTACTTTTAAAAAATATTTGCATATAATAAAACAATTATTAACTAGTCAGCTATTGAATATAATGTGATATTCACCTGCAGAAAATTTTACTGACCTCGGCTATATGTAATATGCCGATGAATATCACATCATATTCAATGGCTGACTAGCCAATAACTGTACATGTATTATGTTTTATAGACCATAAAATGATATTATATCGGCTGTTATCATCAGCTATAATAAAGTGTTTCATAGGCTATTATTAAATGTTTTTTAGGCTACTAATAATATTTCATAGGCAATTATAAAATGCTTTACTGGCTTCTACATAATATTTCATAGGCTATACAAGGATAGTTCTTCCAAAATGTTTCGTAGGCTTAACTATAATATAGTGTTTCCTATGCTGTTATATATTATTTCTTAGGCTATTTAATAAAGTCTTATAACTTTTCTATATTGAACAGAATTTGTTCAGGAATTGTTCAGCTCCAATAAAGTATTTAAGAGGTGTACAGTTTGCTAAAGGACACATATGATTCTGTATTATACCATATAAAATTGTTAATTTTCCTAATTTAAAGGTAAATAAATTAAAACAGGCTAATAAAAGCATGGCTAAATGCCATATATTTTTATAATCTAGTTACAATATTTACCTTCCCTCTCCAAGGTCAGATCACTTCCTTCCTTTACCCATTGTTGTTTAATGTTTCTAAAAACATAAAATTCCTCCATATGTTCATCATATATTGATACATATTCCAGGTCCCAATCAGATAAGATGTTATCACCATCATGTCCGATCTGTACACTGTGTATCTACAAAAAGTAAAACATTAAAAATGAGAGATCCTAGATTACACCGGCACATTGTTATATTTGCAGTTGAAATAAAAAAAATCATGTAAAATCGGTAACTATAAAAATATGCATTTCATAAAAACGTCTAAAGAGATAGGCCGCATTATTTTAGGCAGACATTTATATGTACAAATAATGACTTGTACTTTTGATTCGATTTGAAATGCGTTTTATCCAATTTGAAATGCATTAATTCAAGAGATGAATTTAATAATATATTTTTTCTTACAGTACAGGTTCATATGTTCCTGGTTGATATAATTTTAAGTCTAGTGGGTCAAGCGCTATTTGTTTTATTTTTACCACCACATCATCAATCAATAAACACAATTAATACAATAACATAATTTCTAAATACATCATCAATATTTGTCTGTGAACAAATATGATCAATTTATTGATTTATATTGAAAGTGCATAAAGTTAAAATCTTACATGTCAGCAAGAGCTAAACAAGAGTATATCCACATACGTAACACAGGGTTTTGTAGCGATTGGTAAGATTGATTAAGATGAAAATGTTTGCTTCAAATTCAATAGAACTCGCCAAAAACTACTTTTAATAAGAATACGAATATCAGTACAGATAAAAAAACTAAAAATGACGCCACTTTACAACACTATAACTTCTTTTAAAAGTCATCAAAATAATTATGTTACTTACTGGTCTTACATCTCTGGCAAATGTTCTGATCTCGTCGACTTTACCAAATTCAAAACTCCCAACAAATTTTATTCTTCTTGTACTTTCTTTAGAGCCAAACAGTGTAATGTAAACATTGGCATCTGTACCGGCACCGGTACGTGTTCCCGTTTTCGTACTGATCATGTACATTTTACCTTAACACAAGTAAAAGAATATAAAATAATAATGTCTGAGACACACAATTTCAGTTATTCAAACACAACACATTGGATTTGTCTAAGAAATAGCGATTTGACTGGAAGTGAGGATAACTGAACACTATTAAATGTAAAAACAGTTGTATTACCAGCACACTTGTTTACCCGTTCTATAAATAGGACCAAAGTTCGCACATTTAGTGCTGGAATTGTTACATTTAAATACCTGTCATAACAAATATGAACAATTTATTTGATAAGTAAAAGAAACAGCATCGAAACACAAGGCTATCTTATTTGTACGATAAATCAGCTTGCCAAGTGTTTTGATGTTCTTTCACTTTTGTATCATAGTCAAACATAAAAACGCGTTCCATGTTGTCAGAATATGAAACCCAGAAAAGTAACCAATAAACATGCATCTATGCCGTCACAATAAGTAAGCCCCGGCAAAAAAAAAGACAATCAATGGGCATGCTCTGGAGTGCGGGTAACTAATTCCTGCACTCCAATTAACGCACTGTGCATTTATATGTATACGATTTAACTCTGGAACATTTTCAACAGAAAGAACCTCCAAACTATTATACAAATTAATGAAATCGAGTGGTATTTAAATTAATTAACAGGATCAGGATTACATGAATTGAAGCAGAAAATAATATAGCGAGTAGAGCATAGAAATTAATTGTCATGGATATAAAATATAATGTTTTAAATCTTAGAGGTTAAAGTAGAACGGAACATTGATTATCAATTAATTTGATGGATAACATGATACAACACTTTAGCACTTTAGCACTTAATAACAGAGGCATTACAATTATTTGTTCTCAAACATATTTGTTTCAATTATAAGAATATTTTCTAGAAAACGTTTTACATTAGTTTAAGGCTCTGTCTTTTTATCAGGGTTCTTTGATATAGCTTTTTATAGGCAATTGTCTGTTGCCCTTTAGCTATGCGGGATTTGATGTTTTAAAGGATTACGATCCAACTCTCACTTAAGAAACTATACAAACATATAACTTACATACAGGTATTTTGGAAAAGAAATAACAAAGATAAAACAGTATTTTTCATTCAATATGTTGCAAATATATATGTTTTATATAAACTAAAAACGTTACATAGGAGTGAGATATATACGGAATATCATTCTGTTAAAAGTTTTTGAGGCTTTGTAATTTGCTATCATCAACGATTGGAAATTGGTATCACGCGAAAAAATTACATTAGTAAAACATAAGAATCCTTTCATAATATACATTTACTTATACAATATTGGTTGTGCTACCCGTTTAATGGTATTTGCGCTTCAAGATGTGAATATTGTTAAGTGAGAAAAGTTAAAGTTAAATGATAAACAGTATCAAATCAGACAATGAACTGTTAAAAGTTATTACTCTTCAATAGTTAAGCCAAAGAATAAAAAAATTAGCATTGAAGATATGCAGATGTATGCATATGTACATTTTACCATTACGTCTTTGCATAAACAAAGCTCAATTCCACCAACGGGAACTATTTATGCTTTAGTTAAACCTAAAGTCTGTTCCATCAAGTTTGAACATTCCATTTTTTATTTAATATATTAGTAAAACCATTCAAATTAATGTCATGTTTAGCCTAACGTCAATATAGCTAGGCATGTTTTTCTTTTTTTTTATAAAGTCAGTAATATGGTCAAAATGTTAAAATTTTATTTTGTCCCGTTTACTTACGTTGTAACCTGACGTGAAGTCCATTTCAAAATGGCGGCGCCCATATAGATGTCATTTAAGGTTTGTCTCACAATTAGCGTGAAACGAACTCGGTAATTATAACAAATATATTATTCTTATTTACTTACTGATCAATAGCTAAATGTTATCATTCAAATGAAAAATGACAACAAAGTTGATGTCAAAAAGGCCATTTTACTACCAAACCATTATTTTAAATAATCAAAATCATTTGAAGTGAAAATATCAGTAAGCTTTATAAATACTAACACACAAATATTTAATTTCCATGATATACTGTCGTCTTATATATTTTTAACAGAAAAAGAACACTGAAGTGATTTGATTAGATAGCTTTTCAATCAAGCGCGTATCTTGAATACCGCAACGCGTATTAGTGGAGCGGGAACACTAGCTAGAAGACTATACAAAATTGTTCTTCGCTAATAATTGTTTAATTTACATCATTCTGTAGTTGTCTGAATTCTGTCAATAAGTGTGCATCAAGTCTATTCAAAAATAAATAAATTGACCAGGGTTTTGATGGGATACAAAAATATGTTACCTTTCTTATTTCGAGTGCGATGTTCGTGCGCTAAAACTTTCCGTAGGTTTCAACTGTCACAAGAAATCGCTATCAAATACTACATTATGATGCAAATCTGACAAAAATATGAAGAAAGGAAAACTGATTCACTATACGTTCAGCATTGGTTTGCTTGTTACCACAGTGTCTACCCTCGCTAACGAGAGAACGCGTTCGAGGAAAATGTAAATTATAAGAATATAATAACGATATCATGTTTTCTAGTTCAATCAATCAATCAATCAAACGTAGGTCTATACACTTTAAGCTCGTAAAAACATATTTAACTTTTCTTCTTACAATTCAACAAAAAGTCCAGAAATACAGACAGTGATTTGATATTATTAAGAGTAGGTTTGAATTGGAGTGTTCAATAAGCTACAATAAGTGTTGTTTTTTAGACTTAAAGTGTTATTTAGTGTAATTATTGTGTTAATATGAAGGGTAGATCGAGTCAAAGAGAAACACCGAGTGACGTTATCAATAATCTTAGCCTTCCTTAATTTTGAAAATATTCAGTGAAAAAACAATAGCATATTTTTCACGGGAGAAAAAATACTGCGTATTGTTTATTTTGTGGCTAAAAGAGAAAGATTTACAGAAGTCTTGAATAACGAGATAATATGTAGGGAAATTATTTCAGAGAAATGTATAAAGTAGTTTAAAAACATAAAACGAAAACGAATTTTATATGTAATTAATGGAAGAAGTATTGTACTGTTTAAGATTCATGTCATTAAGTGTGTTAAAAATATTTTTAAATGTTATCAAATTTTTTATACTATTAATATAATTATGAATTGAAGGTGTATTTTTTACAGTTAAGTTGCAAAATCTGGATATGCAAAAAATATTTTAAATGCCACCAAGACAAATTTATCTCAACACTTAAAATCATCTGTTTGAGGATTCTATTCAGCTTAAAAGTAAGTGCAATTTCTAAATCCTCTCCATGTGACTCGGCGTTTTTGTTGCTTATTTTTCTTTTTTGTTGAAAAGAGTTTTCCATCATACATTGCAACTAAACTGTTACATCTTGAAGATCCAGCTTTGTAAAATAATCATAAAACGACCCCGAGAACCTCATGTTTATTTAAGAAACATGACACGTGCTTTGTCCCATTCATCTTCAAATGAAGAGTACTTCGGCAATGGCTACGGACAATAAATAAGATTTGCCATAGAGAAAACAAAGTTTGCTTTCACAAGAAAAGTAGACACTTTAGAGTAAAATTTGAAAAATCTCGAGGGTGACTTTTTTATGTTTACAATTTTTTTTATTTTTTATTCAACGTCGTTTTGTTATTTCATACAAGACAAAAGTTCGTTTCAATTTTTAATGGGACAGACTATAGAAAAAACATTAGGATGTTCGTGCATAAAGTTTAAATTTCTTTTGAAATATATTCACTAAATTGACGTGATTCCACAATAATAATTATAATCACAGAGACACATTTTATTTAAGACAAAATATATTAAATACCCTTTTCACAAGTTACTATATCTGACCATGATCCATCACTTCGGCAGGTCATTCCTCGGTCAGGTGATGGAAAATGACCCATTTGACACTTAAAATTGCGAACTGTTTCACCAATAGCAAAATAGGTTCCTGGAGTGGTTAAATTCGCCATATTTTTATTTTCAGGAAGTCTACATGCACCTATTCAAATAAAATAAGTAAAATGTAATGTATTTTATTTCAATCACGTTAGTGACAAAAAGTATTAATAAGAGTATTAAATTTTGTAATTAGTTTTAAATCGTTAATTTTTTTTATATATTCTAAAATGTGAACTAAATGAATCATGATTATTAGCAAATATGATTCACGTTTTCCTAACTTCTTATGAACATACAAAATTTAAAGTAAAAAAATCTGACAAAAAAGCAATGTTAACATCGATCATATCAGCCATATTCCCGTTCAGGAAATACAATGATAATTATAAATTAAATCAGTTAAATATTTATCACACTGAAATTCCGATGTCCGACTTCGTAAAAATGCTTTTGCGCGGCCGTGCATATATTTTAACGTGAAGTAATATGCGTCATATAAACATAACGTTAAGCCGTCCTTAATGTTACCATTATACTTTAGGCGTGTAAATACAAATGTTTTTTCTTTAATTTTTCTTCAAACAGTCATTACCCATTAATTCATGACCATTACAAGTTCAAATTGCTATGAAACTATAAAAAAAGGCATCAATACTGTACTAACTTGGCAGAATGGACTGGACCATATCTTTTGTAAGCGCATACTCAATCTTAAATTTCCTGTTACTATGGAAACGAGGGGACTTCTCAAATTTGCCAAAATCCCTTTTTTGCGTTGAATTTTCCATCAAAACTGATTTCAAAGTGCTGTAACATCTCAATGGATAAAGATAGAGTGAAATGCTTTCAGTGTTGGTTACAAGTTAACTTATAGGCGACCTAAGGCCATTTTAAGCTTCTTACAAGTCCAAAATTTTCTTGCAGATAACCCCAAAACAGAAGGGACACATTTTACTCTGGTACCCCCTTTTATCTATTTGATAGAGGGATGGCGCCGAAAGTGTGATCACTTTCTTACACCATTTCTCAAACAAAAACAAGTGTTTGGGGTCTAAATAGGGCACTTTTTCACTATTTGAGGCCTCAAAAACGGGACGAAAGGGCGTTAAAAGACGTCCATATGAAGTAATGGCTAGCTATTTGGTATGTTATAAATAGAATAAGTTTTTTTACTAAATTTATAAAATACGTTGGATAAAGTAATATTATGCTCGCGACAGGTTTGCATAATAATAATTTTTTTTTAGTTTTGCTCAATAAATTCAGAATTAAACTTTATAATAATAATAATAACTTTATAATTTATATATAAACTGTCTTCGATATTTTATAATCTTAATTTATATTTCCAAAATATTTACTTACTATTTTCGCAGTGAGTTCCAAATTTACCCTCAGGGCATTGGCATTTTCCAGGACCAACACATTCGCCATTATTAGCATAGCATTCATCATCACAAATAACTATATTTTAATCATACAAGATAAACAACATTAGAAACATTATTGACGTGTTTAGATACTTAAAAAAGAGTGACAGGTAGATTGTTTTCAGATAAATCTCAATAAAACTAATTATGAAAAAAAAAAAAAAATTCAAATGTGAACAATTTTGAAACAAAATGAACACTTTTCGTAAGTCAAAAAGGCAGTAAAGTCGTTAAAAATTAAATACGATTATTTGATTTTATATTTAAGAATTCGCTATGTATATGTGTTTTAAAATACCTATATTGAATGTGTTATCATAATCTTAAAGACATTAATAGTGATATACAAACAAAATAATCACAAAGGAATACCGTTTACGTCAATACTTAATATCTTTATTTTATTTTTACCGTTTTCACAACGTTTTCCAGATGTAAAATGCTTGCATTTACATTCATCATCCCTCAAGCAAACACCCCCATTTTCACAATCCGGTTCACATCTTGCTAAAATACATCATATTACTTTTATATAAAATATTTTATGAGATGAAATCAGTTGTCTTGAAAAATAGCAAATAATTGTGAAATATTGTATACAATTGTGTTATTTTGTTTCTCCTGGCCAAATACAGAAGCGTGTTCTGTAAATGTTTCAGACAGCCTTTGACCTACTGACCCTTAAATTAACAGGGTCATTTATGGCTTCCAAACAGCAATGTAATATCTAAATAATAGATAGTGGAATATCTTTAGGTATTATACAAGAAAATCTTTATCCGTTTTTCAGAAAAAATCATACAATTATCATAAATCTCGAAGACAGAAGAAAACAATTTCTCAATTGATAATTAATTTCGAGTACACGGATAAAACTTATATATAGCCATTGAGTTTTGCATTTTGATGTCTACAACATTTCGGTTTGACAATATATATACTATTATGACAGACTTTTGCATTTCTCCGTGAGTAGTCGTTGTGTTTTGAAGCGAAACTTATGAACAATGTTTACTGTAAGCATAATTTATATTTATAATTTAATTTGAAGGTGTTATAAGAAACATGCGTTTTTCTTGATTAAAAAAAAAGAAACGATAAACCCTTTCTTATATACGAACAGTTTATATGAAATACAGATATCAAATTTGCAGTAGTTTGACAATATTCCTTCTTGAAGCTTGGTAAACGTAAAATTTATCTATAAACACGTAAAATTTATCTATATGAGTGTTTACAAGCTTCACAGTAAATAGGACAATCGAGTATGCAATTATTCGATATTAAATTAAATCAAATATCAAATACTTACTAACCATATTATGTAAGATTTTACATCAGTTAACCAAACCTAATGAAAAAACTACTGAAGATAGTTAAACATCATTTTTACAAGCATGTTATCAAAGAACAGTATCTAAGTCTCTTGCCAACTTGCAGCATGCATTATTCTACAACATCGAACTTAAAAATTGATATCTGTCTCCTTAATACTATCTGTTAAGTTGTTAAAAAATGCCAAGAGCTATAATTAGAAATAAAAAAGTAATAAATCAAGAAGTTTCTTTACTTTTTCTGCATTTGGGAAAAGATCCGTTATTTCCAAACTTCCATGATTTATCTCGTTCATCCTCAATCCACTGGCCGTTTATACACTTGAATCTTCTATTTACAGGTTCGTGCATATCATCTTCATAATTTGAACAGTTGAAGTAAACATTGTCCCCCACCTCAACCACAGAACCTCCGGAGAGACTGGCATGTGATCTGTCAGATATTGACAGACGTGTGTCAAACTCATACGGCACTTTACAATGATCTGCAAAAAAAACACAAATCAAATACATTATTTAATAAGCTTTCTCTTCTCCTAAAAAAGTCGAAATGGTTGTATACTATTAACATTTAACCTGTGCAATTAATACTCGTTTTAAATGACGCGGCTTTGCAACAAACAACAAATACCAAACATCGAACTAAAATCTGTAAATTTGAATACAATCAACACTTTAAACCTTTCATATCTCAATTTTTATTCTTGTTTTAAAAGCTACAGTATGCAATTATTTCCTTTAACTGTAATCAAGGTAACATCTCTCTTGTATGGGTCTTTAAATAGGGCCAATTAAATATAGAATTGTCTTTTTTGTACAATGTATACTACATGTACCATGATTAATTTGACTTCGTGACACAGGTGTTTATGTTATTTAAAAATGTTTTGGTTAAAAGTAATAATGTGTCACTATCAAGAAATTAAAAGCAAAAATGGATGGTAAGTATTATGAAAGCAGAAAGAAAGAACAATACAATTGAACATCTTTATGAATACATAAAAAACACACTGAATTTATGTAGACGAAGCCTAATTATGAATCATTCATTAGAGCAATAATAATATTGCCTGAATTCAAACACAATTCAAACATATCAGTTGCAGAAATAATTTAATTATAAGAATTAAAAATGATGTACGGCCTTTTGAAAATTAAACAACTAGTCTGCGATTTATTCCAGGAGAAAAAAAAACGTCATAGGCATTTTTCTACATTTCAATTAAATTCATTCATAAAAAGGAAAAGAAAAATCAACATTGTATAATTTTCTTATTGGTTCGACATTTCTATTAACAACTGTGCATCAATTATAAATATCACAGTTGTTTGTCTTCTTTAATATTTTTTTGTAAAAAATCTTATTAAAGTACTTCTTTCAAAAAATACATTACAGACTTATAACATGCATTTTAAATTGTTCAAAAATATTTGGAATGACGTTTTGATTTTTATTCTATTTTTATGATTATTGTTATTTGGTTTTGGAGTGATATATGTGAATATATTACCTGCTAAGATTTTATATCACCAAAGCCATTAGGCGAGGGTGATATTTTATATTGGCAGGTAATATATCCACATATATCACTCCAAAACCAAAATAATAATTTTGTTACCCTTCCCCTGCCGAGTTTAGACGATTTTTGAAAAAAATATTGTTGTTTCAAATGAAACGCCGAAATAAGATTCCCTTTAGGGTACCCCTTCATCACAACATGACGTCACATAAATACATGACGTATTTTCCCCGTACCTAACGAATGTAAACAAGAGAAAAGGAGTAGTCTATTGAACGCACTTTTTTGTAATTAATATCAAGCTTTCACAAGGTCATATTTGTTTTCAATACTGATGAGAATATGTGTCATTACTTTACTTTGGTAAATATTTATCATTTGACAGTTAAAAAGTGTTTGTAAATTGGAATTTACACCGCGTAAAATCGAACCGTACGCGCATCACTTCAGCGCATGTTGTTTACAACGTGGGGTACCAAACGGGGATATTTAGTGTGAATAATACCCGTTGGCTCGGTAATATCAATTACTTTCAGGTGATCAATAACCAATCAAAAGGGCGAAAAAAATCTGGAACTATCGGACACTATACCCGAAGACACATTATACTATACTTACAGACTCCCTTCATATTGATTTGATCTCCAACCAATCGAATTTGAAGAGTGCAATCAATATTTAAATATCTATATATAATCAGAAATATTTTATGACAAATAACTAAATGGGGTCAAATTGGCTTGGTCACTGTACCGCACAATATTATGGACACACAAGAGGGAAAATTCTTATTATCTTCTCACTTGTAAGTATATCATTTCAATTTTGTATTAAGGCCAATTATGCCTCAGAAACGTTATGATTTTTTTATTCATTATAAACTTTCTATTTTTGGTATCTTGTTACACTTCCGAAAAAAAACCCATTTGCCATATAGGTTAACTATCTTTACTTATTATGCTCTTTTGGCAAATGGTATAATTATTATAATGAAAATATATTTTGTATGTAAGTCAAAATACTTATTTTTTATACATGTTGCTATCTTCAGTCAGCGCTTCTTTCCTCAACTGTAAAAACTCTTAATTGCTCTAAATCAAATATATGAACATTATTAAACACATGTTTAATATTTCTATATAATATTGTTTAAGCCCTACATGCTTGAACACTTTACAAAGTGAGTAATTCTTGATGGTTTAAGTTTTTTACGGTAGATGACGGTTGTACCGGAATTTAGCAGTCTACCTTTCCGTTCGCCATCATTTACAGGGGAAGGTCAAACTTTTGGACAGGGTGTATATTTTTGTAAAATAATCATGTTTAAGTTTAAATGTATCATGCAATTGTGTGGTGGCGATATGGCTGAATTTCATTTAGTCATGATTAAGCCATGTTGAAAATTAACAATGCTTGTGTTTGCTGCTGGTTTTTATATGTGTTTTTCAGATTGTCAAGGCAAGTCATGGATCACAGTTTTTTTTGGCTTGCAGCCACGGCTGCAAGCTATTTCATCTGGAAAACTTGTTCCGGTTAGGTGGTTTCCTGCTTACATCTGTTGGTGCATGATTGAACGGGAAACCAGCTGCAATCGTGCCAATCGCAACTTTTCGGCCTTTTCCGTCAGTCTTCGGATTAATGATAATAGCCGATGTAGTTCCGATTGCAATCGTGACAATTCGGGCGATTCCGTCATACTGCGGAGTAATATTACGGAAATCTAAGCTATTTTAGTTACTTCGGTAATCCCAGTTTGTGTATATAAATAGGATTTCTAGTTTTACTTGATTTATCGGTTTAAACCGTAATAAATTATAAATTGTTCCGTTTCATTTGTTTTTCAAGACGCAAAAGTTAGTTTCTTTTATATTTGTTTTTTGTCTGTATTAGTTTTATACAATAGAGAATGGTGACTGTAGTATTATTCCGTCTTCAAAGGGTGGTCCTGCTTACCAAATCACGCATGATCGAGTTATATTTAGATCTACTGAACGCAATTCAACTTCAAAAATAGCCCATGCATATCATTAACCTTGCCACGCGCTGATCTAAGTATCATAGTTGATACATGCTTATTAATTGGTACCACGTAACGAAGTATTTTAGAGCATTTACTTGTCTATAAAGCAAAGGAATGATTCTGCTGCGAAAAAGGGGACATGAGATGTGCACACTTGTTTTCCTTCAGTATCACGTTAATATTTTTACGATTGATCATTTTCTTTATTAGTTTTAAACAATAGAGAATAGATCTAAATCGTTTTGACAAAAAAATATTCGGTTTTCCAAAAAAAAAAAAAAAAAATAAATAAATAAATAAACCCTTTATGATATACAAATACCGTAATTCAAAAAAAATGTGATAATAAATTGAAACCCCCCAAAAAAGAACAATTTTAAAGGGTTGGGATGAAGGCACAACTGTGCAAGCCTTTCCTTTTAAAAGGAAACTGTATTTCTACTTAAGTGAATTATGCATGTGAGGTTTTTTAGTATTCGCCACCAGCCTTTTTTGTGCTGTATTAAGTTAAAACGAACGAAATTAGTATCTGTTCCCAGGGCTTTCTTCGCTCTTGTGTATGTAAGATAATAATTTAGTTTTCATTGAGCCATGGCCGTTTTCTCCCATTCGCAAAATAAACAAGTATCAAATTTTGATATACTTTTGTGTTCTTTTGTTTAGAGTTAGTTCACCTTGTAATTCAATCAATATCTATTTCCGAGGCATAATGTGCCTTTAATATTTTTGTCATAATGATGTAATTTTAACTGTATATGCATTACTGTGCGCATTTTCCTTTATCAAATTCATGCATGAATAACATTTTGATTTATTTTCCTTACTAGCCAAACTATAGAAAAATCTGTGAAATAGTATTATTATCTTATAGCATCAGTCTCCTGTTCAAGAAGAGTAAATAAGCGTCAAAGTTTAAAATTTTAAAGAACCCTGCCAATATCTACCAATAATATCTACGCTTAAGGCATTATAATTGCTAAGAAAATATTTTTTTAAGATAATTATTAGCTCCAGTGATGTACAGAAACAACTTTGTGAAAAGCAAACTTAAGACCATTCCTATGTAATTTTGCAATTTGTTAATAAAATGCCTTTCAAACTTTTACCTTAAATAGACGTGTTTTGACGGCTTTTTGCCCTCCCTTTTTGAGGCATCAAACAGTGAAAAAATGTCCTATTTAGGCCCCTAACACCTTTTTTTGTTTGAGAAGTGTTGTTTAAAAAGTGACCACTTTTTCGGCGCCACCACATCAAATGGTACATCAGGGGATTGCAAGAAGGATGTGCCACCTTCTGTTTTTGGGGTTTGAAGGGGGCGGTAGTCCCCCACATCGCCAAGAAAGTTCCTGGCATGTGACAGACTACAAATGGCCTCAGGTCAATCTTAAATTAACCAGCAACCGACGCTAAAAAGCCTTTTACTATATCTCAATTCATTGAGAAGTGGCAGCACTTTGAAATCAGTTTTGATGGAAAAAACAATGCAAAATAGTGATTTTTCGCAATTTTGAGACGTCCCCCTTTGCCATGGTAACAGGATAACAGAAAGTTTACGATTGAGCATGCTGAGCATGCTGTTACAAAGGCTATGGTCCAGATAACATTTGTGCCAAGTTTCATCCGTATTGAAGCATTTCTCATAATAGTATATCAGTTGAACTTGTAACAGGAGGCTTTTTAATGAAAACGGTCATTTTTTACAATAAGCTCATGGTGTCAAAGGTTAAGACACTGTGAATGACGGCGAATGACAAACACAAAAAGCCATCGCAAAATTCTTTAAACAATACGAAACGGATAAATTGATGTATGTCTATTTCAATATTTATCCTTCATGACAGCTTTTCTGTTGAAATCAACCATATAACAGAAACATTCATATTTTTAGACAAACAAGACCGAGATTATGGTGTATTATAGAATAGAAGCGTACGCTGTTAAAACA